GCGCTAAGCGGATGAGCGCATGGAGAAGTTTCTCAGGACTAGTTTATGCATCCAAGTCTTGTTACCGATTTGTTTGTTTTGCAGCTATACGAGTTTTCAAGCAAATTGATGAAGTGGGCTTTGTTTGGAGCTTGGAAGAGATCCGATTCATCGAAGAAAGGAATTTGTTGGCTGGGCATTTGGCGCTTCTTCTGGATAAATTCGACATAGCCGAGGGTTTCTTTCTGCAGTCGAGTAGGCCCTTAGAAGCATTGGATGTAAGTCTTCTTGATTTCATGTTTCGATAAATAAAACACATGCATAGACAAAGCATGGCAAAACAAGTGTGTTCTCAAGGGACGTGTGATATGTTTCTGTTTTTGCTAAGAAAGGCTTTTCGTTCGTCTCCTTATGTAGCATATATTTTTAGCAGTGTTGAATTATCAAAAGTTTATTAGACAAAAATGCACTTTTTAAATATTTTTGTAAAGAAACTGCTTTAATATGTCCTTGGCAAACATAATTTTCTTTGAAAATTTCCAGTATGTTGCTGCCGTGTAAACTGTAACTGAACTATTCTTCAAAACCAGCAGAGTATTGCTGCTTTCATAAAAAAGGCTTCTCATGTACGTTATAGCTCTTACTGGCTACAAAACGATGTGTCAGTGTCACGCACCGAAACTTTACGTAGCATACTAAAAATGCTAGTTTTTTCAGATGCGGCGCGATCTTTTGCACTGGGAAAAGGCACTGCATTTGGCAACACGCTTGGCACCGCAACAAGTACCAATGATTTCAAAGGAATACGCACAACAACTCGAGTTCATGTTGGTTTCGTGTAGCACAAGCTCTAATATATTACGTATGCAAGAAACATCATTAGAGCATAGCAATCAGCAAGCACCCATGTGGTCAGTATGCGATGAAGCTTTTGGTGATCAAAAGGTTCACTTTAAGGCAGAGACTTAAACTACTATACGTTCTGGAGCCGAAATGAGAAGAACGCGCGCATAGCAATTACACACTTTTTAGTTTAAAGCTAATTTCATTTTATTTTTT